TGGTGTTTAAAAACCACATTACCATTTCTAAAATAAACACTTGAGCAAGCTAAGCCAACGTCGTGACATTGAGCCTGGCAGCTGGAATCTACCAGTAAGCACACGTAGTAACAGGACACGAGGGTTTAGAAACATTCTAGATTTTTGTGCCTTTGCAAGACAAAGGCATGTCCCATCACCTCATGTTCATCGGTGAGAATGGCCCAGACTTCTGACCTCAAGTTCCCTGCTGTCCCCTAAAGACGTGCACAGGATTTTCTGGTGATGACCAAGTGAGACAGACAATCAATCCTTGGAGGAAAGGGCTGCAGCCTAGCAAGAAAGCAGCGTCAAAGCAGTGGGTGGCAGGCTACCTTTATCACCCTCCAGTTGTCTCTGGCTGGCGTTTCTGTGAAAACAGAACATTACTGACTACTGGGAATCCGGAGACATAAAATTACTGTTCTGGACCAGTTGAGAGGCTGTGTCTGAAATTCGTGTCCCAAATGCAGCCGTGTGGGTGATAAAGAGTCTGGAGGTCAGAACTGTGTGTGCGAACAACGCGATGAGAAATACTAAAAGTAATTGAAATTCCCCAAGAAGATTCTCCTTTTGAATCCCATGATGCAGGCTGATAAAAATACAAGGGATGAGTGGGCGGCAACACAGGAAGAAGCCGTACTGAGCCTACCCAGTGATTTACAGTCCCCAGGGAAAGAGAGACTCGCTAGTATTTGGTCTGGGCTTCAAACTAAAACCTTGAAGCCAGTCTGAGTTTAAAGCCACTTGCCCCCTGTACCGAAAACACAAGATCACAAAACTTTAATGATCTCATGGTTACTTCCCTCCCTCGGATGATGAAACACATTCACCTAAGCAGTCTACAGAAAGATAGACTCTAACTATCACCGTCCCAGTCACTAACTCAGAACTCATAAAAGGTTCCATCCTGGTAGGTAAGGACATGACTTCATCTTCCTTATCAACAGGCGACCACTAACTCCATGGCGCCGCTTCCACTGAGACTGTCAAAGACCAAGTTAAAATCCTGTCCACGTCGACCTTTTTACAGAGATTAACAGAGAGTTTGGAGAGGTGATGGAGAAGGGTCAGAGATCATGGAGAGGAGCAACCCAGTAGCTCTCCAGGTACATCTTCCACCCCCAGAACCATGGATAACACCACCCCAAAGGGCAGCTTGTACCCTCTAGACAAACCTTTCTCCCCTAGGTTGAGCTTGACCCTGCAAGCCAGCCATCAGGTGGGTACACCCCCATCCTCTTTCCCCATACCCAACATCACTGGCCTGGAGAGGTCCTAGAGTCACCGTGGTCAGAGTTGACTTCCTCTGAAGATGCTCATCGGTGGCTATGCCTGATGCATCCAGGGATTTGAACTCTGAGCGTTTACTCACTTTAAAACAGTGCCCGTGTGAGATAAGAAGCTCGGGTTCAGAGAGTCACTGTTAACTTGTAAACAGCAGGAGTCCTTATGGATCCACAGTGTCCTGGCATGGCCACAACACGGGCTCCCGAATTCTCTCTAGGTGGAAGTCTGAGTTTTCATCTATTGATTGCTGTCTACTAGTACAGACTGCCTACTCTTGTAATAGGCTCACAACAGTGCATCAGAATCCACTTACTCCAAATGGGGAACAAACAGGCGACAGCTTGTCCTGCTAAGGTATGTGCTATGAGTCAACAGGCTGTTTGCATGACCCATGACAAGTACTTGCTGAAGATCTAATGAAGGGGTTCAGCCACAGCCATACTCAAACTGATGGAGAGAGGAGGCTGGGCCATGGTCTCTGGACCCTTGCATGTATCTGTCCCTAGTTGACCTCACTCTCGCTCACAACTTTTATCCAGAAACTAGCTGTGCTTGTCAAGAATTGCTTTAGTGTCCTGCATGGGGTGGATAATGCTCCTCTAGAAGTAATAGTTATGAAATGAGAACCTAAATGCCTGGTCCAAGTCGTTGACCAAGGTTGGGTGGTGGTGGGACACGCCTTTAGTCCCAGCACTTGGGAGGCAGTGGCAAGTGGATCTCTGTGAGTTCGAGGTCCGCCTGGTCTACAGTGTGAGTTCCAGGACAGCCAGGCTACACAGTAAAACGTAGCCTTGAAACAAAACAAAGAAAAATAAAAACAAACAAAAAATCCTGTGGACTAAGGATGGGGAATGGCTCATGACGTGACTATTCCTCTCTAAGGCACTCGTGGCAATTGATGCCTTTTTAATTTTCTTCAGTGCTGCATCCACTGAAAAGAGGACATTATCTCAGCAAATAGCCTTCTACCCAAGCAACCCTAATTAAATTCAATGAACTACTCATGGGAAGCACATACACACAAACACAGAGAAAGAGAGAGAGAGAGAGAGAATGAGAGAATGGCGGGTGATGACATAAGACAATGATGATTAAAATTACCAGAATTTATTATATGTATGTATTATCAAGGAATATACATAAAAGAATAAAACAATTTAAAAAAAGAATTATTTCATACCAAACAGGTCTAGTGTGGGGTTTGAACAAACAACCCAATGAGCCCACAGGAGAGGAGCAATTTCCTTCTTGGAGACACCAGATTATCCCTAAATATGATGAGTAGCCTCAGCAAGACACCTCCAGCTCCTGGAACTCAGTGTCAACTTGTTATTATTCAGAAGTCCACCTGGAGAGCTTGGCTGGATGCTAAGGACTGGATTCCTTCATCTCCATTCCCTCCTACTGATGCATGAGCTCTCTCCCACAGTCTGTCTCTGCTGGAAAATGACACCCACCTGCAGCCCTCACAGGGAGATTCCAGCCACCAGGAAAGGCGGAGGTTGCTGGGGCTGCACACACAGTCCTCTTGGCCACCCACTACCAGGGACACACACAGAGCAAAGAGCAACTCAGCTTTGGGAACCCTGGCAATCCACAGACAGCCTGGGAGCGGGGGCGGGAGGGGGCTGAAAAGCATACTCTGTATTCCATCATTGGTTTGTGATTATGGAGACACTCAAGAAATGGAAGCAGGATCCAGGTAGCAAATACAAAAGGCTTGATCTCAGGAAGGACCCCTTGATCTCACGAAGTGAAAATGGACCCAGGTTTTGGAACCTAAGTGTAATAACTTTTCCATGCCTTTGGAACAAGTGCTGGAGGTGAGGCCAGGCACCTGGATATAGTTGCTGGCTCTGATCTGGGTTCCTTTCGCCGTCAGATGGAAACAAAAATAATCACACCCATCCCACTGAGCTGTGAAGTAAAAGCAGGACTTCTCTATGCGTGCACTGCCGGTGTTGGGGGATCAATCTCTGGTGTAGAATATACTCGGTACTACAAGAAGCTGAGCCACACTGTTGCCCTCTACCATTAGACACCAGTAGCTCCCTCCTCCAAGCTGTGATGACAAAACAGGTTTAAGCTGCCAAGTGTCCTCAGAAAGGTGGGTGAAACTAAATGGTCCCCAGGAAAGAACCACATAATTAAGGGGATTGAGGTTTCTAAAGACACATAGGTACATCAAGAAAACCTTGGGGTGGGAGGAAGAAAATGTTTTGCCCTAAAGACTGGCCACCACCCAAGCATACTCTCTGAGTTCCATGCTTATCTTTGTGAGATTGACGTGGACGTCGTTTGGACTGAATGTTTGCTTGTGCCCCCTGTTCATGTATAGAAATTCCAAGCTCCAGTGTGTCAAGAGTAGGAGATGAGGTATCTGGGAGGTGACTTGGTCACCACCCTCAAGCCCTTCTGAGAAGACCCTAGAGAAGAGTGCTCTTTCTTGCCTTCTTCTTCTTCTTCTTCTTCTTCTTCTTCTTCTTCTTCTTCTTCTCCTCCTTCCTCTTCCTCCTCTTCCTCTTCCTCTTCTTTTTCCTCTCTCTCTGTCTCTCTGTCTCTCTCTCTCTCCTTCTCTCTCTTTCCCTCTCCATCCCACAAGGACACCATCCTCAAACTGGGAAAAGGCTCTCACTAGTAGACACCCTGGTCTTGGCTTCTCATCCTCCAGAACTGTGAGAAAGAGATTTAAGTTGATGAAGGCCCCCAGTGTACTGTGTCTCTTTCAGTGGCCTGAAAGGCTTCAGGACTGCTGCATCCAAGTCATTGAATTGACATCCAAAGGGTCCAAAGCTTAGAAAGACAGCCAACCTTAACCCTTCTTATGTGGGTTATTTTTTATAGTTTTCTTAAAATTTTTTAATTGACACACAACTATGTGTGTTTGAAGTGCAAAGAGTGATATTTCAGCCTACAGAAAAATGGTGAGAGGGTTTCAAAGCTAAGAGTTGCTTCATCTGAACCTCAGCACACATGAATTCACAGCTGCTGACTGCAGCTGTCAGTGCACAGAGAAACGTTCGCAAGTTCATGAGATGTCAAAGGCAGTGGCCAAGATGGACTCCGTGCTTTACAAAATACTTAAGAGTTCAGTTGTCAGCAGAACACTTCTGGTGGCTTTGAGCTAGCAACTGGTCTCTGGCTCAGTCTTCTTCAGCACAGCACAATTGGTGCATAGAAGGTGAGGAGTCGGTGAGTTAAGGAAGGCATTTTGAGCACACAGACCTGTCCCTGGCAAATATGGAGCAAGCAATGTATAGCTATCACCTTGGCTTGGATATTAGGTTTCAATAGGGTGCTATGCATGAAAAGGTATGGTCGCATGTCTAGAAAGATGACTTGAAACCAAGTTAAACAGATTTTTTTTTTCACACACTTCTCAGAGCCTTTAAAACACTGATATGCAATAAACCTTGGAGGGGGTGACCTAGAGTGGCAGACACCCCAGGCCTTTCTTCGTAGGATGATTCATGACCCTAGAGTTGTATAACACAGAGGGAGAAGTGCATTGTGCAGACATGCAGCTTCACACATGGTCTAAGTTAATTGCAACCCTTTCTAAGAACGTGAAGAACATTCACTGTAAAAGGTATGCAGCACTGGCCTAACAACAAGTGCTAAGGACCTATGTAAATATTCCGAATGGTGTGAAATCCAGGCACACTCTCAGTGTTGGCTTCTGTGTCACTCACCCGAGATCCCTTTTCAGGAAAACACTGGCAGACAGAGCAGTTTCTTCCTCCACAAGGGCCGCCATACTTCTTGCCACTCTGGAAAGGGAAGCCATTCGGTCAGTATTTCAGTCGTCGGGGTTCAGCTCAAGCCATAGAGTATACAACAGAGCAAGCCCAACGTGTGCAAATCCCACAGGATGCTTTTCACCTTTAGATCCAGGAAAAGCAAATATTAATGTATTTATTCTGAGACAGGTTGCTGCTATGCAGCCAGGTTGCACCACTCAAACTTTTGATCCTTCTGCCTCAGCTTCTCAAGAACACCCACATGCCTAACTGCAATGAGTAGTACTGGCACATAAAAAGGAAGAGCGCCCACACCATGATACAATCCATGACTTGGACCCTCCTACCCTGGAGACACTGGAGAAAAGAACCTGTATTCAGAAGCCCCCGGAGCCAGAATCATATGGAGGCTTCTCCCCTATGAAGACTTCAATACAAAGTTATGAACAGTCTAGGACTGTAAATATGCAGTTAGCAAGCTGTGCGCAGATACAAGAGGCTAAGTTTCAATGACAACACTGCCTTTCTCTCCACAGCCCTTCTTGTGACTCCCAGATCCACCAGGGTACGTGATCCTCACCAAACTATTTCTTCTTTGGACAACTCTCCAGATAAGTCTTACAGTTTGGTTTTAAGTTTTCCTTCCATCCATTTCCCAGTTCTCCAAGGTGATTCCTCTAATGTGTCCCTTAGTCAGAAGCTCCTAAACCTAGTCATCTGGGCCTCTTCCTGCCTTAACAGACTTTTCTGTAACTCTCTCTAGAAAGTCAACGGGCATGTGGGCACGTGCGCACGCACACACACACACACACACAACTTCACCCAAGAATGTTCCTGCCCTTGGTGAGACACAGCACATTCTCACCCATTGCACATTCACATCATCTCTGCCCAGAGCCCTCAGCCACTTCACTACTAAGTGTATTAAAAGAATTCCTATTTCCATATGTGCATTCTTTATAGAAAACACCAAGCTTCAGGCACCTGCTTTCATGCACTAAGGCTTTGGTTCAGGTATGGAAAGGGGAGTCAGCTGCTATTAGCAGAAATAGGACTATCAAGAAAGCAGCAGAGATAAATTTTGTCTATGCTTAGCTGTACAATTGATACATCTTTTAAGCTTAGGGCAATGAACACACACTAATGTGGAAGGGAAGAAATAGAGAATAGCTAACCTATAACCACAGCCTTCAGTAGACAGAGGTGAGAGGAGCCACTAAGCTAATAGCTACAGTGCTGTTGACCAGTAAGTAGGTGCAATGCATGCGTGTTGATGTGCATATTACATATAAATATACACGTAAGCACATAGGCACACACAAACACATGTGTAAGTCCAGACACATGAGTGAAGGGGATCAAAGACAAAGGGTCTACTCAAAAGTTTTTTTTTTTAAAAATCACTCAATCTAAACTTCCTTTAAAGGGCACTGTCGGTTGAATAAAAATGGGCTCATGGGGAGTGATATTATATTAAAGGGTTAGGACATGTGGCCTTGTTGAAGTAGATGTGATCTTTGTGGAGGAAGTGTGCCATTGTGGGGTAGGCTCTGAGGTTTCAAATGCCTCAAGGCATGCCCAGTGTCTCTCTTTTCCTGCTGCCTGCCAAACTAGATATGGAATGCTCACCTACCTGTCCAGCGTGTTGTCTGCCTCCATGCTGCTATGCTTCCTACCATGATGATAACAGACTGAATCTCTGATCTGTAAGCCAGTCCCAATTAAATGTTTTCCTTTAAAGAGTTGCTGGGGTTGTGGTGTCTCGGCACACCAACAGAAACCCTAACTCTTGGGCAGAAAGGAGCATTTTCAGACAGACTCAAAGAGAAAATATCTTTAAGCATTAAACATAAAATACATATTTATGAACAAAGGTCTTATAGGTCATTAAAAGCATTGAAGAATCCAAGGGATTAAGGGGCTAAGAGACAGGCCAGTCTGTAAAGTGGCCGCCATGTGGGCATGAAGCCTTGGGTTCAGATTTCCGTCATCCATGTACAAGGTTGGCACAGCGGTTCAGGCTTGCGATCCCCGTGTTTATGGGGTGGAGGCAGGGAGAATCCCTGGGGCCTGCTGGACAGGTAGTGGTGGACTCTCGATTAATGAGAAACTCTGTCTCAATTAATGGTGGAGAGCAATAGAAATAAACATGCACTTAACATTGATCTTTGACCTCCCCACGCATGTGTGTGAACACATATATTGTGTAAACCACACGTGAACGAATTTGAAATTTCAGGAGTCTGTGGTTCTTGAGTTTTAATTACCATTGTTATCTGTGAAATTACGAGTTCAAAAATTCTAAAAGGTTAGGGATGAAATGCCCAGGTTTGACTGGAACAGCACGTAAGCACAGTAGCTAGTCTGAATGCTCAGATTCAGTTAAGGTCAGAATTCATTGCTGTGTTCAGTGAAATACCAAAATAACGATGAAAAGTGGAGTTGGTAGATTAGATGCCTCGATAGCCAAGGCAGAGTCTTTTTTTGATATTTGCTTGTTTTGGCCAAGCATCCCTGAGGTTATGTGAGGCAAGATTCTATTTCAGAAGTCACTTTAAACTAGATTAGCAGATTCTAAGAAAGAGACACCGCTGACACGTGAAATGGGGTGGAGACCTGCAAAGGAAGAGTCTGTGCTCCACAAAGATGCTGGATTGGTTGAGGAGATACTGAGGGTGACACTCAGGCCCCATGGAGAAAAAGTCACATACGGTGGTATAGGTTTGTGATCCCAGCCCTGGTGAGGCAGAGACTAGGAGCCCTCCAGGGCTCGCTAGGCAGTCATATTAGCCAACTTGGCAAGTTCCAGGTCGATGAGAGACCCTGTCTCCAAACAAAAAGAAAGAGAGGTGGGTGATGCCTACAGAGCAGCGTCTGAGTTTGTCTACTGGCCTCCATACTCATCAAACACATCCATGCTAACTTGTATTGAGAGAAAGAGAGAGAGAGAGAGAGAGAGAGAGAGAGAGAGAGAGAGAGAGAGAGAGAGA